TGGTGTTCAGGGAGATACATCTGGGGACTATAAGAAGCCGTTCTGCGGCTCGCTGTGGGAGGAGAAGACTAATGTGTCATGGGGAAAGAGGCTCCCTGCTGTGTGCCTCTGCGCCCCATCTGCCTTCCTTCAGCACCTCTAGCGGCATTTGTATGCCAGGCTTGGACACATTGCCCTTATTCATACTAGCATGCTCACGACCAACTCATACGCATCATAGAAGAAAATAGTGGTGCTTCCTTCTGATCTCTGGTGGAGATCTCTTTGACTGCTCTAGTACTTAAAGTATACTTTATGATTACTCAGGTTTTACATGCCTTGGCCACTTTCCACTGTATATCACTTTCTTCTTTAAGAGGCCAGATTGCTTTTGTAGCCTTTTTTGTTAAAATACCTTCATTTATATGTAGCATTGTAACCATGTGATACTCTTAATCATGAAGCTTAGCCCATGAGAATTGTGAGCTCTTGGAAATGTTTATTAGTCCAGTTCGCAGGCTAATAAACCTGTAAAATTATGGTGATTGTATTCCAATAAGATTAATAAAAAATAAGACTGTCTGTCCCGCTGAATTAATGTGTATCATGCTGTGTAATTTACTTGTTAGAATTTATCTATTTACATATGATATCTCTTTTTAAGCTAATAATGTGACAGTGGTGTTAGTTGAGAACCTGAATTTACAGTGGTCTTTTGGGCAATAAGAAATGCAACACCATGGACTGAATTTATTCATATGTATACTGATCTTTTCCTAAATATGGGCAAGATGAAAGGGGTCTCTGTTTATTTCACCATGTTTTTTACGCTATCATTTAAAGCAATGGCTTGTGGTGGTCTACTTGCTTGTAGAAAGCTAATTTATCATAAAAGTTAATGGCAAAATTGCAGTAGTACGTACCTTCTCCTTTCCTCTTTCCTGTCCGTGAACTTCGCTCCCATTGTACGTCTGTCACTTTCTTTGAGATAAATAAAAAAGACAATAATTCTTCTGAAAGAAGCAGATTTATCCATCTCTTTCTAATATTTCCTTTCAAGTTTTCTGTTTTCAACTGCTATTCGTTAGTCTCAGTTTTTCTTTTGTAGCTAATGACCGCTTCTGGATGGCATTTTTTTTAAAGCAAAAGTAAAGTTCGCCATAAGAGATTTTTAAGAATAGAAAATGAACTAATCTTCCTTTGAACTGTAAATAGTGGATAATCATTCTTTTCCAAGTATGGCTCTCATCGAATCAACCAGCGGGATTTAAAAACCCAGTGTATGTTGTACACATGACATTGGATCTTTTTGTTTTTTTTTTGAGGGCCTCATAGGCAATTTGTGATGTGCAGAGGCAAGTTGAGAATCAGTTGCTTATGCTTTTCATATAGAAGATGATAATGTTTCAAAGAGTTCTGTTCTGTTACTGAAAATAGGCCACTGGCTTTAACTATGCCCTGGATCTATTTGTGTAGTCACACTTTAAGAGAAATCCACCAGTGAGCTTTAACATTTGCTATATTTCTGTAGGTCTGGATCTGGAAAATTTATTAATAACATAGTAAAAAAACCCAGCAAAAACATTTGCTATATTTATCTAACTTAGTGACCTTCTTCCCAGTCTTTCTGCTGAGTTTATTAAGGAGACAAGTTTTTGGGAATTAGATAAGCTGATTCTAAACATCATGCAAAAAAGGAAGGATTGTTAGTAAAACTTAAGAGAGTAGTGAGGGAGCCACTATTCTTTACACAAATTAGACTATATATCCCAAATAGCTGAAACAGTAATACTGTGCGGA